CCCCCCCCCCACTACAGACCTTCCAGGGAACCCCTATGGTTCTCCCCCCTCCCACCAATAACTCCTCTCCTTTTAAGAGTTTTATAATTCCTCACTACATGACAGTCCTGCATGCCCGATTGTTAATCCTGAGCCTCAAGACAGTGCAACCCCCTCTTCCATTTTAATTCTACCACCCCATTCTGAGTCCAAACAATAGCAGTTGCCCATTAGAAATGTGAGTCAGAATAATGTGGCTGATACCTCTGCTTACAGAACACAATGGCTGTACGCTATAAACAAAAGGAGCTAATCTATGAAAGAAAATTAATGAAGCTTCCAAATGAATGCCACCATTGTTGCTGCATTCATCCAGTTTGTGAGGCAACAAGAGAGAAACCAAAATAAGCCCCACAAAGTATTTCTCAAAGCTTCAAAACATGAGATCAAGTTTCTTTTATTAGGAAAAATGACATTAAAAAATAAAGGTATTTGGAAGACGTGCAGGTGTATGTTCTTTGTTAAATACTTCGAGGGGGTTAATTTTCCATTTAGCAGGAAGAGGAGCAAACGACTTAATCACGTAAGTAGGACACATAACGGTGCTCACGGCTGCGAGAACAGTGCCCGCCATATGGCAACCTCATCCTGCACAAGCACAGGCTGTCAACCCTGGCCAGGGAGTGCACTGTCACTACCACCGCACGGCGCCGACTGGACACTAAATGACACCACTCCTTGTGACACAGTCGAAAGGGGAGGCAAGCTAAGCTCATCTCACTAGACACACATTTTTGTCTTAAGGAACAGCTCATCTTGCACTGCCACAGAGAATCAAATGACACACCTGTCCGCTAAGGAAGTACAGTCATGTGCCCATGGCGAGGGCGGAATGAGCAAAAGCATGGGAGGGCTGGGCCCGAGGAGAAGGGGAGCGAACAATCAGTATACGGAAGAACTCACCCCTAAGGCAGAGAACACCACTGAAGGAGAAAGCTTAAGAGACGAACTTTCAACTGTGCAGGTGGAGAAATGTCTCATGCTTTCCCAGGACGAACACTCTTGTGGTTACTTACCACTCCGAGCTGAGGCCCTGACATGAGCGGCATGCCTGACTTCCTCCAGCTACACAATGGAGAAGGAGAAGCAGATGCCACACGGGCCCAAGGCAAAGGTCAGACAGACATGCCTCCCTTCACCTTCCATCCTTCTGTGCCCTATTCTGGCACCAACCATCCCTCCCACAGCACTCCACTTCTCGAGGGTGCTTGCCATCTCTAGCTCATGGCCTCCTTTAACAGACACAGCTGTCCCCCCTCTCACCTCATCTTTCCATCATCTCCTGTGGCATCTCCAGAACGCTCCCCCACCCTCGCCTGTAAAGGCCCACGTGACTGCATGCAACCATCCTAGATCATCTCTGCTTCTTAAATTCTGTTGATTTACACCCATAATTCCATCAGCCAACACACAGCAACACCTAGACTAGTCTTTGACTAATAACTGGGTGAGGGGTGCCTGGGGGACACATCTTTAGAATTGAGAGCAGGATGATTCGTATCTAAACATTTCACTTCAACTTATAAGAGCATCTTACAAAATTACAACCTAATCCCCAAATAGGGGTCTTGGTAGCACTGCTGGGTAAACATCGGACTACTAATCACAAGGTCAGTGGTTCAAACTCATCAGCTGTTCCACAGGAGAAAGAAGAGGCTGCCTGCTCCCACAAAGATTTAAGGTTCCAAAGACCCAATGGAGCAATTCTACTCTGTTATGCAGGGTCTCCATCAGTCAGAAGTGACTTGATGGCAGTGAGAAAGTGAACTTTAAAATACATGTCAGGTAGATTAAATATTTAAGTGTTAAAAAAGTAATACAGAAAGAACAAAAGACACTGGCTGACTACATCCTTATCTACTCTTGGGAAGGTTATGGCGTAAAAGAACAACAGCAGCAGTGGGGAAAATGAACAGATCTGACTATATAAGAAAATAATAATAATTTCTAATTTATCGAGGGGTTACAAGGTGGAGGTGGGGTCGGGAGGAACTAATACCAAGGGCTCAAACAGAAAGTAAGTGTTTAGAAAATGATGATGGCAACATGTGTACAAATAAGCTCGATATAATTGATGTATGAAATGTTATAAAGGCTGTAAGAGCCCCCAATAAAATTTTTTTTTTTAAAAAAATAAATTTTAAAACTATATAAAAATTATTAAACTTCAATGAAATTAAAAGGGTAACAGTAGATGATGGGGCATGCTAAGCACATGCCAAATGATTAGCATGTTATAAAAAACTCACATCGAACACAAATTTTAAATTTTTTTCGTAAAGAAAATAAATGAATTGGATTTCTTTTGTAACTCAATCTGTTAGAAAAATCAAGCATTTTTTAAGTAATGGAGGGGAAGTACATTACAACACTGGTTTTCTATCAAATAGGCACAGCATTTTCATGAGTTTTTAAGGATAATAATGTTCATTTGCTACTGATGACAAAGTGAAGCAGAAATCACCAAACAGTGAAGCAGTCATATTAGTATCTGGTTCCTAATTGAGCTTCTTTTACTAAGGAAATAAAATTCACACAGACATTTATATTAAAACTCTACAGAATTTAAAATAAGGATGATTAAATAAACTTCATACAATAAACTATCACCATTAAATTGGTCCTTTCTGACACCTTTCAAATGACATAGGAAAAATATTCATCATGTGATAAAAATGGGAAAAGACTGAATACAGGAGGAGAGGCCAGTATATTATAATAGCTTTGGAATCTAAAAAGCTAAGACTGTGTTCTACTCTGCCACTAAACAGCACTGTAACTTTAGGCACTTAACTCTCAGGGCTATGGTCAGGTTTAAACCGAAATAAATGCAAAATCTGTGTAAGCCTAATTCCATCTCATAGTGGCCCTACCTGAAAAGGCAACCTGAGCCGTGCTGGTGCAGTGGTTACATGCTGGTTGGTAACATAAGGGTCAGCACTTTGAAAGTACCAGATGCTCCACGGGAGAAAGATGAGGCTTTCAACTCCTGTAAAGAGTGACAGTCTCAGAAACCCACAAGGGCAGTTCTACCCTGTCCTGTGGGGTTGTGACGCGTAGGAATTGACTCCGTGGCAGCGAGTGATGAGAAAGCGGGTCTGCCCCACGGGGTTGCCAGACTGCCACACCTTTCCATCCAGAGTAGATTTGTCGCCCAGGGCTGCTATCACTGTGACACTGGGGCCCCTGTGTGACCCTAGGCACCCACTAACCTGGCAGTAGTTCCCATTGGTTCTTTCCACAATCTATGGAAAAACAAGAGCGTTTAAAGGCCAAGCCCTTCCATTTGTAATTCCTTCAAAGTGACAACGTTTTTACAAGGCTTTACAAAGTTTAATGTGAAATCCCATGCCCCGTTCTGCATTTACATTGGCTATGGGACCCATGGGACTCTCTCTCACTGCTAGAGTCAATGCTGACTCTTAGCAACCCCCTATGGGATTCCGAGGTTGCAACTGTTTATGGGAGTAGAAAGTCCCCCAGGGCTCCTGTGGGAAGGGAAACATAGTTCCATTCAGCTTAGGCCGCCATCGTTATGGAAGCTGACTACCACATCTTTCTCTCGGGGAGCTGCAAGTGGGCAGGCTAGAGAGGAGTACTACCTCAAGTGCTACCTCAATGGATCCATGGATTTCAAATTCAGAGGTGCCATGTTAACAGTGAAGGTAAAATATTTACCAAAAACATATAAATTCACTGCTGTCAAGTCAATTCTGACTCATAGCAACTCTCTAGGGCATAGAACTGCCCCTGTGGGTTTCCAAGGCTGTAAATCTCTCCAGGAGGAGAAAACACCATCTTTCTCCCCTGGAGCCACTGATGGTTTCGAAGTGCTGACCTTGTGGTTAGAAGCCCACCATGTAGCTCACTATGCCTCCAGAGCTCCTTTTAGACTTTAGAGCCATTACTTCTTCCAGAAACTAGGAGAGTGCATCGAATACAGGAAGGCCATTTCAAAAATAAGACACAGCGTGACAGTGCGTGCGGTTGATTCAAATCGCTTACCTCCGAGAACCCAGCTGCTCGGGCAGGCCACCCAGCAAAGTTCCAAATCATCATAATGCATGGTTTTGAGAAACACAGCAGGTGTGTTCACTCACCTTCAATGTACAGGGGCTCTACAACGTCGTGGTTAATGAGCTCAAAGTTTTCGTGGCCGATCCAGTGCTCCACGTTCCTCTTCCTGCCCGTGAAGAAGTTGTCCACCACCGTCACCTCGTGGCCGTCCATCATGAGTTTGTCGGTTAGATGGGAACCCACAAAGCCTGCACCCCCGGTGATCTGCAATGGGGCAGTGTGTGCAAAACAGTCCGAGAGAGAAAAACAACACAAGAGGATGAGATGAAGGCTGACTTCAGAGTTACAGGTTGGGTGCAGCCACACTGACACTGGAGGGTAGGTAAAGGAAAAGCCGGTTAGGATTCAAAAAAACAGTATCTTTATTCTTATTTCAGAGCAAGTTACAGCATCTCCAAAGTTCTAATACAACAACCAAAATAAACCCACTGGTATCACGTGATTTCTACTCAGACCTCCCTGGGGCAGAGTAGCACTCATCCATATAGGGTTTCCAGAACTAAAAGTATGTATGGAAGCAGATGGCCACTTCGATCTCCCCCAGAGCATCAACCCTACAGAAGTACTTTTGGGGGAAGGGCAGTGGGATTAGGACAGAGAAGAATTCCCATAGGAAACACCATCTTGAAAAGTGAGCCTTTATTGTCTTTCCTATCCTACTCTCCATTATGGCTTCTTCGCATTATCAAAATCTAATACACCCCATCCTTAGTGGCACTATAGGTTCGGTGTTGAGCAGCTACCTGAAAGAGGAGCAGTTCAAAACCACCAGTCACTCCTCAGGAGAAAGATGAGGCTCTCTGCTCCCATAAAGATTTACAGCAGGGGTCCTCAAACTTTTTAAACAGGGGGCCAGTTCACTGTCCCTCAGACCTGTTGGAGGGCAGGACTATAGTTTAAAAAAAAAAAAAAACGATGAACAAATTCCTATGCACACTGGATGAGTTGGCTGCTAAGCAGGACAGTCAACGGAGGCAAAAATACCTGGTGGGCCGGATAAATGTCCTCGGTGGGCCGCATGTGGCCCGCGGGCTGTACTTTGAGGTCCCCTGAACCGTCTCTGAAACCCTATTAAGAGTCACCTATGAATTGGGATCGACTTGATGACAGTGAGCGTGGTTTGGTTTTGATGAACATATTAACATCATGACTCAGCACGTGACGGGCTGAGAAAGTAAGTCCTGCTGATCTTAACTGCACTGGTGTCATCTGACCATCATTGAAAAGGTGCAGAAGTTAAGTTAGACACGGGGCTGCTCACTGCAAGCTCAATGACTCACACCTACCTGCCAGCCCGCTCCACAGGAGAAAGAGGCTGCCCGCTTTCATAAAGATGCACTGCGTTGGACACCCTCTGGGGCCGTTCTACTGTGTCCTGCAGGCTTGCTATGAGTTGTAATAACCTTGACAGCAGTGGGTTTGAGATTTTTCAAATGCCTCTTGCTTTGGAGATAACAGGGCTCTCCAACGAGTTTGTGGGAAGATCCCATCCCTGTCTCACTGCACTTGTCGACAAGCTTTGGAAGCCTCTGACACCCAGTGGGGCTGAGCTTTCTTAGCAGGATCCCATGACGACTCGTAATGACAGAATCAACCTACTACAATTTCCTAATTACATATTCGTCTCACTGCCCGTCAATTTGCTAGCTCGTGTTTTAGTGTTAGACTCCTACACTTTATCTGTATACTGAACAATAACTAGGAGGGGAAAAAAGAATTTCCATAAAAATAACTGATTTCCATTTGGCTTACTATTAGATCTTAACTTGGGGGAGGTGGGGCGATATTTTATTTTACCCTTCATGTAACTGCTTTCTTCCAACTGCTCTGGTTTTTTAATCAGAAAGCTTATCCTTTTAACTAGACATTTAACCACTTTTCATGTACCCCTATAGCGATATGCAAATGTTTCTTAAAATAAGATGTTCTGGGGCACTTTATCACTATACCCGAAACACCTAGCTGACAGCTCAGAGCTAGCAGAAGTGCAGGGAGCTGAATTATACATGATTGCTGCCAACAGTTCGCTAGTTTTAGTAGCAGCATAAAATTGTTGAGAGCACACCTTCATCTTGATTAAAATGCACTGAATTGTTTTTGTTGAGTAATTCCCTTCTATCTGAAATACTTGGGAGATTTATGTAACATGGCTGGATGGTTATAAAATTTTTCTCCTAATCAATTTCAGGCCATTAAGCAAGCATTGTAAATGCGGGTTAGAGACAAAAGTAAAGGAAGCGTAGCATTTACAAACCTCCCTTAGAAAATCAAGTCACCCAATACAAGCAGACCCTCTGGTGGCGCTGCTGGTTAAGTGCTGGATTGCTAGCAAGGCAAGGTGGGTGGCTCAAACCTGCACTGGCTTTCAGGTTCGGGGCTTCATGCCAGAAGAACAAACAAATCTCTCTGAGATGGAGACACTCCATCTGATACACTTTGGGCATAAGATCAAGGGAGACCAAAAGGAAAGCCCCCACTGCCATCTAGTCGATACTGACTCACGGCAACCCGAGAGGGTAGGGTAGAACCTAACTCTTTACGGGAGTAAAAAGCCCTGTCTTTCATCCGTGGATGGGTTGGAGGTTTAGAAGTGTTGTTCTTGCAGATTGCAGCCTAAGTAGCTACGATGCCACCAAGCTTCTTGGGGGAGACCAAGTCCCTGGAAAAGGGCCTCCTGCTGGGTAGAGGAGAGGGTTATTGGAAAAGAATAAAGGGCTCAGCAAGATGGACAGACAAGAGTGGCTGCAACAGTGGGCTCAAGTATCGCTGCAACTGCGAGGCTGGGCAGGGCCAGGAGGCATGTCCTTATGTTGTTCCTGGGGTCACTGCATCAGAGCCGCCTAGAAGGCATCCAACAACAACAATGCCTTTAAGATCCTAGACGAGAAGACTTAACTATGGAGTAGAAGAATCCACAAACCTGCAAGAGTTCACTACACTAAGAGTTTTACTTCTTGGTCCTGTGTGAGCTAATGGGCAGCTAACACGGTGTAAACTGGTGGCTGCTCAGCAAATGAGGGAAAAGAACCGTATTTTCTAACAAACCTCTTTATGTGGAGGCTTCAACAACTACTGACAAAGCTCTAAGTTTTAGCAACAACATATTCATCTGCCAAAGGCAGGCACCAAATGACTACAGTGTGGCTTAAATTCTGAGCTGTCAGGTGACTGAAAAACACCAAGTCCATTTGCAACCAACCAACCAAACCTCACTGTCACTGGCACAATCCTCACTCATAGCAGCCCTACTGGACTGCCCCTGTGGGTTTCTAAGCTTGTAAATCTTTACAGAAGCAGACAGCCTCATCTGTCTCCCGCAGAGCAGCTGATGGGTTCAAACTGCTGACCTTGTAGTTAGTAGTCTAAGGCGTAACCCACTATGCCACCAGGACTCCTTAGTCAAGGGTAAAGTGAAATAAAATTCCATAGCATTCAGACTCAATAGGACTACCATCGCACAAGAACCTGTACCAAGAGACCTCATAGACTCTGCGAAGTTCATATACCTGCATAGGCCATCAAAAACCATCTAACACGTGGCAGCAAAGACCATTTAAAAACGAACTTTCCTCTGGTGCTAGTGACATCAATATATTTCCCAATTATGCCCAAGTGCACACACCAGGGGTCCTCCAACCTTTTAAACAGGGGGCCAGTTCACTGTCCCTCAGACTGTTGGAGGGCCGGACTATAGTTTAAAAAAAAAAGTATGATCAAATTCCTATGCACACTGGACGAGTCGGCTGCTAAGCGGGACAGGCAGTGGCAGCAAAAACACCTGGCGGGCAGATAAATGTCCTCGGCGGGCCATAGTTTGAGGACCCCTGGCATACACATGGATGACCCCTAAATTGGGATATACTCGTGCAAATAACCCCTGAATTGGGATATACTGATGCAAACATAACAGACATCAGAGTCTACTCAGGGTGTGATTTATGCAAGCCATCTCAAAACTACAGTTTGTGCATTTTGCTGCCCAGCAGTTAAATGGTGAACTTATACTGATATTTAATAAGAAAGACGATTAACAAGTGTAGTGTGTTTATCCAAAGTGTTGGGTGAAGCAGAAAAATTTGCATACCCTTGCTCTGAAAAATAAACTTTTCTCTGCTGCTAGCAACATCAATATATTTCCCAATAATGCCCAAGTACATAAATTACAGAAGAAAGGGAAGATTGTGTGGAGAAATCAATGATTATACCACTAGAAGAACAATATTACTGTCTTAAAACCAGGATGAAGATAATGATGATGATGAAAAGAAACAAGCAAAAAAAAAAAAAAGACCCGCCTTGTGTACTGATCATTCAGACATGTCTATCAAGGATGCCGATAAACACATTTCTTGTAGAATAGCAGTGTCAGTTGCTCCACGCCCCTGTTCTCCAAGCAAAACATGTAGGATTGGTGGCAAATATTTGAAAACGAAACAAAAAAGCAAACCAGGTAAAGTCTCGGCATGCAGCAAATGTGGGCAAGTTTACTCAAGAAAGTCACTAACTCAATCGACAAAGAAAAAGCATTTAACAAAACTGAACAGCCCTTCATGCAAACAACACTCAGCAAACCAGGAATACAAGAGAACTTCCTTTACCTGATGAAGAGCAACTATGCAGAAGCCAGTGACCCCGTATTTAATGTTCGCAGCGGTTTTCCCCTAAGATTAGGAACTAGAACCGGGATGTCTACTCTTGTCCTTCCTACTCAATATTGTACTAAAGGTGCTAGTCAGCACAGCTAGGCAAGTAAATGGTGGGGTGCAGGGGAGCACATACATATTGGATAGGAAAAAGTTAAAATGCCTCTATTTGCAAATGACTTGTAAAATGCCATTAAAAAAACCCATAAGAAACTATTACAGCTGACCAATGTGTTCACCAGGGTTATAACAAACAAGATTAATACAATCTTAAAGAGTGTTGACAAAGAATACTGGAAGTACCATAAACTGCAAGAAAAGCCATCAAATATCTACTGGAAAAAGTACCGATTCCTTAGAACCAATGCTAGTGACACTTTGGATTCACTCCCCTCTACCACCAGAAGCCCACGGTCAGACCTCCTGATCAAGGGTTCATCAGTCCCTGAAACTACTGGAGTCAAGAGAAGCCTGTAGCCTGAAACCTGACCCATGGACTTGGAACTTAGTTGTATGAGCCATTTCTTTGATAGTGACTTCTGAACATATACACACAAACACAAGCGTTACTGGTATGCTGCTCTTAAGAACTCAGCTTTTGACTAAGTTTAAATTGGAAATTACCAAAAAATATTGCTGAAACAAAATAGAAAATAAAAATAAATGAAAAGCTATCTCAGACTCCTGGATGGAAAACTGTTAGGATAGCAATACTCTCCAGATCAATTTACAAGCAAATATGTCATTGTCCCTATCAACCCCCCTCTTGCCTTTTGCAGAAATTGACAAACTCATCTAACATTCACATGCAAATGCAAGGCATACAGTATAGCCAAGATAACGTTGATAGAGTAATTGAGAATCATACTAAGAAGTCACTGTAATCAAGACTATGTGAGACCAACATAAGGGTACACATATAGGCCAGTGAAATAGCAAGTCTAGAAAATACCTACACGTGTGAGCAACTGATTTTGGCAAAACTGTCAAGACAATTCAATGGGGAAAAGATTAGTCTTTTCAACAAAGGAGTCTGGAACTGGGTATCCAAATGGAAATGAATTAGGTTTGAATGCTACCTTGCATCATATAAAACACCAACTAAAAAAAAAATGGACTGTACATCTAAATACAAGACTAAAACCTAAGAGCCCCTAATAAAATGATCCTTCAAAAAAACAACATAAAATTCTTAGAAGAAAACATAGACACTCATCTCTGTGGGCTTGGATCGGGCAATGATCTCTTAAATACCAAACATACACAACAGAAAAGGAGACTTCATTAACATTAAAAATGCCTCTGCTTCAAGACTCACTAGCAAGAGAGTAAAAGGACAACAAAGAATGAAAGGAAATATGTGCCAACCATATTGGATAAGGGACTTGGATCTAAAAAGCATATAGAGAACACTTACAATTCAACATAAGAAAAGCAAAGCAATTGAAAGGTGGATTAAATATTCGAACAAACATTTTCCCAAATAAGATATACAAATAGTCAATAAGCACATAGTTGACAGCATTAGCCACCAAGGAAATGGACATCAAATGAAGATGCTAATTCACACCTGCTAAAAAGGCTGGAATTAAAAGATAGATAAGTGTTGGTGAAGCTATGGAGAAATTGGAAGCTTCACATACTGCTGGTGACCATGTAAAATCATGTTGTTGCTCTAGCGAAAGCCTGGCAATTCCTCAGATTATACCTACAGTTACTAACCCATGTCACTGAGTGGACTCTGACCATAGCCAGCCTACGGAACAGAGTACAACTGCTCCACAGGGTTTCCGAGACTGTGAAGCTTTAGAGGAAAGCAAGCCGTCTCAGCTTTCTCCCAGCAAGTAGCAGGTGGGCTTACACTGCCAACCTTGCAGCTAGCAGCTCAACATGCAGCCCGCCACATTATCCGGGGTCCTTCATACTTACTGTATGGCCACTTTGACAAATGGATAAAATGTGACAAAGAAAAATACAACGGGGCATTATTTTGGAATAAAAGTACTAATGTGGATAAAGCTTGCAAACGTGCGAAGGGAAAGGAGTCAGTTACCAGCCTCCATCTATTGCAGGGCCCGTGCTCTGTGACAAACGCACCCTAGCGACTCTGCACAGACCCAAAGCAGAGTGTGCTTCCCTGTCACTGGGGTGTAGACAGTGTGGGGGCCAGTGAAGGCTGATTGCTTAAGTGTTTGTGCCTTTTGCTTTCTTTTTCTCAGAGTGACGAAATTGTTCCAAAATTGGTCCCCAACTCTGTAAGCATATGAAAACAGAACCAACATATCCCATACTTTAGATGGCGGAATTGTATGGTGTGCGAATTACGTCTCAATAGAGCCATCATTACAGAGAAAAGAACAAAAGGTGTCAATGTCTGTGCACGCTTTGCTACCCAGCAGTTAAATGGTGAACGTACACTGATATTTAACAAGAAAGACTATTATCAAGTGTAGTGTGTTCACTCAAAGTGTTGTGTGAAGCTGAAAAGTTTGCATACCCCTGCTTTGAAAAGGTTTCACGCTTCCGCAAGGAATAAAACACATGGTTACCACATGATGCAGTATTTCCAATCCGAGGTACACACGCCTCCTCACCCCCGCCAAGATGAGAACATCCATCCACATTAAACGTGTGCATGTACACTCACAGCATATGAACCAAAACACAGAAACAGTCCCAATTGTCCACCAATTCAAAACTACACAAGAGGTGGTACATACCCAAGTGCAGAAGTCTTAACCATAAAAGGAGTGAAGTACTGATGCATGCTCTGACATGATGAGCTGTATGAGCCCCAATAAAATGATTAAAAACAAACAAATAAAAAGGAAACACAGCAATAAATAAAATTTAAAGAAAAAGAAGCAGCCAGGCACACCCAAAGACAAATGTCAGACAGGCGAGGAAAGGAAGCAGACCGGGAAGGAGGGGGCATACGTGATTGGCGCACGGAGCAGACTGCCAGGAATGAGATGAAACGAACACTGTAGGAATTGTTGAAGAGAAAATGGATGACCTGCTCTCTAAATCTTCACCTAATTAACAAAAATTACAAAGAAAAGAAAAAAAGAGGCAAAAAATAATAAAATAAAAGGGCCAGCCATAAAAGACCACATTTTACATGATTTTATTTACACAAGATAGCTAGAGTAGAAAAGTCCGGAGGTCAAGGCCATCAGTGGTTTCTAAGAGCTGGGCAGCAGACAGCAAGGAGTGACTGTTAAGGGTGAGGAAAATGTATGTGCAGGTACCAGATTGTAGTGCTGTTGTACCATTTTGTAAAAATACCGGAAAACACTATAGAGGGGTGAATGTTAATGGTACGTGAATTGCATGCAACACCAAAAAAAAAAAAAATCATTTCTATAACAAGACAAATCTAATTAGGTGTGTAAACTTACCAAAATTCGCTTACGGTCCTTTTCTGATAAAAATTTCACAGGAGGGTATTTCTGGGTGAAGCTGTGTAAATAAGAGAATTTTTAAAAAGTCAGACATCTCATGTGAGTCCAATCTTGACCAACCATCAATACCAATGCCAGACAGTGAAGGGTTAGTCCTCATTCCTTCCTCTACACGCGAGTGCCCTGGTGGCCGCCCTGGACCAAGTGCTAGTGACCGGCTTCGGGTTCAGGTTATGACTTGAGATTCTACCCAGGAAAAGCTGAGGCTGTAGCAACTCCACCAGTTCAGTCCACAGGCCGCAAGGAGAGAGATAGGCAATTCTCAAGATGCTATTGTGGGGCGGTGACAAGGGGTCTCAGCTCCAATGCCGGACTGTATATCTTGCAAGAGTAAGAAAGGAAACCATGAACCAGGTGTCTTTGCCTGTTTCTGGGCATGTTTCACATTCCATCACACCCTGCCCCCTCCTGAACCATGTACCTGTGCCAAACCATTTGGCCTCAGCCTGCTGCATCTCATGGTCTTCTTTGAACTTACCCTAAGCCTTTTTGTCTTTCAATGCTCTGAGCCCCTCGAAAAGGATCAAAGGTCTCCAGGCCACTGGTTTTCCAGAAGTAGGAAGTTGTAACTAGCATAAAAAGTTTTTTAAAAAAAATCTTTGACATAGAGTCAATGGTGCCACATAGAGACCCTCTGGATGGAGTTGAATCATTTGGCCCTGTGGGTCCTTGAGACTATAAATCTTTACAGGAGTAGAAAGCCTCATCTTCCACATAACAAGGACATACAATGTTAAATGAGTTCATAATGGAACACTGGAAACAGCCATCCCTAACTTGGTCTGCTCCGAAACAAAAACCCTTTAACATCAGAGGGCTCTGTTTAATCGGTATGATTTTATCTAGATTAAGTGCTGGGCCAGGCGGCACCTGGTCTCTGCCTTCACCCTGTTCCCACTCTAAACACAATGCAAGGACACTGTGGGCATTTCCTTACAGTCTGCTGAACTGGACACAGTAGGACACAGAGAAGACTCTGGAACAGTACTTTCCCCTCATCCGGAAGACTGGAAGCATGGAATGGTTGGGTTGGGATGGAAGTGTTTTCTTTGGCTAGGAGTTAATTCCCCTATTAAGAGCTTCTTCCACATTCTTACAAGATCCAGTCACCCCTGCAGACTAGAAAAACAGGTAAGCAGGTGGGGGAGCCTGAGGGAATGGGTGACTGGAGGCCTCCCGCTTGTTAGCTCTGTGACCCTTGAGCAAGATACCTAACAGCTCTATGAACCTCACAACTTCCTTCTTTGTGAAGGGAGCCAGGGGAACATCGACTGTATCGCAGGCTGGTGAGGATGCAGGAGTGCCCAGTCTTCGCCAGGGAACTTGCTGACCGGACATGATCAGTGCTGCTGGGAAGTAGGTTCTGCCTTTGTGCCTGGGAGGCTGGTGGCCTGGAGGGAGCCTGGCAGATCCCCTGTGTGCAAAGCAGCACTGTTCTTGTCAACTCCGTCTACTTGTGCAGCCGGGAGATGCCAACGTCACTCGGTGTTTCCAGCATGCATAACCTCACACTTGTTCCAGTTGACCACTCACTGGTCTTTGAGCCCACCCCAGCCACGAACCTAGCCTGAACTCGAGAAGTTTCATTCCCAGATATATGGTACCACTAAATTGTCTCTTTCCTTCCAGTCAGACCCTCTTCCAAATGAGCTGCTCCTGCTCATTAGCATAATTATGCTTCCAGAGTCATCGCCTTTTTTTTCAATCACTGGGGAAGTTTGAGAGAAACAAAGTTTTCGATAATCTATAGCACTGCTTTCCCAAAGTGGGCAATACTGGCCGCTCCCTGGTGGCCCCTGGAGTAATCGGGGAGGGGGGAGGGGGAGGCAGTAGTATCCTTGGGTGCAAGTGAGGGGCATGGAAGAGAAGAAAAATCGAAAAGCTATCTTGTACATGTTTCATCTACTTTCTCAAAAGGCCAAATAAATTTAAGAGCCTCTCATCTATAATATAGATTATTAAATTTTATAGTTATATTGTATATTAAATTGTATACAGGAGCCCTGGTAGCGAGGTGTTACACACTGGGCTGCTAACCACAAGGTCAGCAATTCGAAACTCTCAGCCATCCCAAGGGAGAAAGAGGAGACTTTCTACTCCCATGGACAGTTCTAGTCTCAGAAACCCAAAGGGGGCAGTTCTACCTTGTCCTACAGGGTCACTGTGAGTCGGCATCAACTCGGTGTCAGTGAGTTGCGATTTTACATATCCCACAAGAAAACAAGCTGTTGCTGCTTTAAACATACTTCAAAGAAAAGCTCCAGCAGAAGCACACCGTCTGGCGCCCGTGGTTCTGGCGTCGGGTGGATTGATAAATAACGGCACGCTAAAGCTTTCCACTTAGAAAAAGTAACATCTGGCTTATGGCTCTGTTTATCTGTAAATTGTAGCAACCGTTAAAGGTTTCATAGGTATTACTAAAAGCTCTCTTTTTTAATCCTCATTCTTCTGTTACCACTAAAATGCACAGCCCCCTCACACAAAGTGGTATAGGTGCTGAGCAAAGCTCCTGCAACGGTCCATCTTGCCTTAGTATTCAATGCAAACCATTGGCCTTCCTAGCAGTCAGAGAGGACAAGAGCCCAGGAATTCAGTAAGATGGTCTTGGCCACTCGGAGTTACTGAGCATCCCCACAGGGTTAGGCTCTGTGAGGCAACCAAGAGGGGCAGGCCTACTTTAACACTTAAAGGAGCTTAAAACTCTTACCTGACTCGTGGGCTTGCCTAATCCTTCAATAATTAAAGAACTTTCTGCTGAGCAAATATTCTATGTGAGGAGTCCCCAGTTGGTGGCAACGTGTCAAAGGCTGGTGGTCTGCAGCCACTAGCGGTGCCACATTGGAAAGGTCTGGCAATCTATTTCCAAAAGGGCACAGCCTTTATGACCCCAGGGAGCACTTCTACCTCTGTACACTTGGGGTCACCAGGATTCGGAATCAAGTCAATAGCAACTGCCAATAGCCTTCAAGGGCAGCACTGAGGAGACAGCATCAGGCGCGAGAGGGGCAATGCTCCCCCTCAGCGTGCCAGCAAGCAGGCGCATCAGAGAAATTAATCATGAATCTTTCATACGAGCACCCCCCAAAGTTCATCCTTTGTGAATTATTTTATGCTACTACAGACTCTCCTCTTACTGTTCAGTAGGACAGGTAGGAAATACTTTCACTTAAGAGGATCAGTATCCTTGTCTATTGCAAGGCCATTTAAAGATACAGAGCCAGAGGAGGCTGACATGTAATAAAGTAGTCAGAAATGGGGAGTGGAGTAAGAAAGGGGAAAGGGCCACATGTAAAATCTACTTATCCTGCTTTCTAAGAGGTGCTGTGCCTCATTTCATCTCCATGTAAAAATTTTTTAAAAATATGTATCTTTATTGAGATATGCCAGATACTACAAAATTTTCTATTGAAGACGAATGTATGCACTCCACTGGCTTGTGGTCTATCTACTCTATTAGGTAACCATCCCCACTCATTCCAAAACAACTGCACGGCTCAAAAAAGACAAACACCTACACCTAGTAAGAGTTAGCTCCTATTCTCATCCCCCTGCCTCCCCGGGAGGCTTTAACTCTCAAAAATATCATTATTTATTTAAAAGAGGCCGAGTTGCTCAAACTGACAAGTACATCGAGGAAACAGCATTTCGGTTCCAGTCTTGTCTCACAGAATCAGATGGAAAAATAAAATTAGGGTTCTAAATTCTACTCCCCCCCCCCTAAAAACGACTTTTTCATCAAGTCAGTGTTTGAGGTTCTAAGTAAATCCTTTCGCTCTGCCTCATCAGTCACCAGACGGTGGGAAGACCCACCCACCATCTGAGGAAGAAGTGCCCGAGGAGACCCCACAGGCAACGCCTCCTCTCCGTGCTTGACAAGAGTGAATTACTGGCAAACTCTTTAAGGTTAAATTTGTACTTGTGTTTCTCTTTCTGGTTTAAAAACAAGAGCACAAAAAGATCAATGGGAATCACCTAATATTATGTAAGCCATCTCCTTAGAGAAGATACTTGATTCACTATTCTTTTCCTAAACAAACGAGTCAAACAAGTATCGTCTACAGAAAATTATTACAGGTGGGCAGATTTTTTTGACCAACATAAAATCTATATCAACACCTATCTATTTAAGTTTTTCACTGAACTCTTTCAAATGCCAGTCTTACTGTAGGCTCCTAGCCAATGAAATGTAAACGTCACTTGTGTAAAAAACCCACTGCCATCAAGTTGATTCTGACTCATAGTAACCGTGGGGGGCAGAGTGTTTATGAACTGCTCCTGTGGGTCTCTTAGTGGGGCAGACAGTCTCACTGTTCCTCCTCAGAGTGCTGCATGAGTTTGAAAGGCTGAGCCCGCCGGCATCAGCTGCACCCACTAAGCCACAAGGATACCTCGCCAGTGTTAAATGCAGCATCGTTTCAGTATCATACTATGACAAGAAAACTCTATAGCACAAGAAACAGCCTTGTGCTACCCAGTAAGATGTGTTCAAAATAACTGCTAACCTTTACTCCCATGCAAATTGAAATTAATAGCCTGCCAGCTCACTCAGTTGAAGACAAGGAGAAAATGAGTATACCCATTCTGCTCAATGAAATCCTCTCCATTCTATTTTCCCCTTGGAGGGTTGAAAGAAAATACCAAAATTAAAAGAAGAAAACCCGCTTTGCTTTGGCCTTTTTATCCAACCCTCAATAACGACTCATACGGTGCTAATATGAAATATCTGACCTCATCAAAGTCAAGAGGGAGAAAATTACATAAACTTTAACAAATACTTCTGTTTTCCTTTCTTAAAACGTCTGAAGACCCAACTGTTCCTCTGGCCATACAAGTTTCCCAAAGGTTCTCAAAGGAAAAAACTTCCAGGGCCGGAAGCCTGATTTTTTGAACACACACGTGACTGGGAAAGAATGACCCCATACCCGGTGAGTCTATGAGTCTCCACGACTGACAAAGCGAAGAACAGAAAAATCAGGTCTAAGAACATGGGAACCCAGTTTCTTTTTTTTTTCTTTTCTCTTTTTTAACATTTTATTAGGGGCTCATACAACTGCTATCCCAATCCATACACACATCAATTGTGTAAAGCGCATTTATACATCGTTTCTCAAAAC